ACGATGCAAAAATAGGTTTTTCCTTCTTTAACCTTTCCTTCAGATAAATCAAAGACCGGTTGTGAATATGAATTAAGATTCAAATTAATTAATAATTTGACATCTAATTCTCACCGCGACAGATACGTAGGCATAACGGCGAAGTATTGGTGAGCACCATCCCCCCTTCCATCCGTAGTCCTTCGAACTACGTTGATTCTGACTTTCCTATTGCACAAGGAAATACATAGGCATAAGACGGTGAAATCCTATTGAGTTCCCTTTTTTTTCCTCTTTTCGTTTCTGCTTTCCCTTAACAAGTAAGCTTTAGATAAACACACCCTTTGATTAGAACAACAAGAGTGGATCCCATTGAGTTCAACGGACGCGAGGGGTGCTAATACCTTCCTTTCATATAATCGGCTCCCGAACCCGGAATTTGGTTGCGAGACCATGTTCTTTCCCTTTTTGAGGTTTCTTCGATCATTTTCTTTCCTCGTCGGGATAAATAACGCTCGGTGGAGACTCTGTTTCCCGTCGATTATTTTTCACATTGCGACAAGCGGTAACCTTTGGTTTCCACTCCCTGCACATAGATCTCAATATTTTGTTAGTACAATATTTGTTAGAATATGTTTTACCCAAGTTGCTTAGTTTGTCGAATAGAGAAATCTAGTTTGCATGGAATTCACGAATTCTCCAGGTTCTATATGAATAGTTTGAACTTCTTTATAAACATGTTGCCCTTAGAATCCTTGATATCATTTGTTCCCTCATAGAGAGTTTGGAAATCATTCATCATACCTTTAGCATTCATATGATGTGAAATTGAGTATAATACTTTTGTGCTTAAAGCACAAATAAGTATGTTCCTCGCTTTTAAATCAAATGAAGCCTTTTTGGTTTCATCATATGTCCAAACTTTTGAGTGTTTAACAACGTCATTATCGCCTGTAGGGATAAATGGTCTATCAGAGACAACGCACCACATTTTTTTTTGAACTAATAGTAAGTGGACGTACATGTTCACTTCCCAATAAGTATAACTTTCTCTTTAGAAAACAAGTCATTTATTATACCTTTGGATCGCCATCGTCCTCCATATTCTCAAACTTTTGGAGTCGATTATAATTAATTAAAAGACCAACTCTTGATACTAATTGTTGGGCGAGAATATGGAGTAAGGAAACAGTCTAGAGGGGGTGAATAGACTATTTGAAAATCCTTAACGGTTTCTCAAAATTTAACCACCATTAAAGCTCGATAAAATCTAAGAAAACCTTACCTTACATGATAAATCCATACCAATTTAATAAATGATAAACAAACGTTAAGAATTGAAAACTTAAGCATGCAATATGTTATGAAAATTAAATGTGTGTGTGAGTGTGAGAGAGATAGAGAGAGAGAGAGAGAAAGAAAATCGATATATATATATATATATATATATATATATATATATATATATATATATATATATATATATATATATATATATATATATATATATATATATATATATATATATATATATATATATATATATATATATATATATATATATATATATATATATATATATATATATATTGGTTCGGCGTTCTTCCTCGCTTTACCAATTTCACTCTTCAATGATTTTTCTTTGAAACCTGTTATGATCCTTTTTATTTTGACAAATATTGCAAGAGTTCATACAATCACTAATCTATAATAATGCTAATTAAAATAAATCTCATATGTGGATCTTGATTAGTATACATAGTAATGTCAAACTCTTATGAGTAATCTTTACTCGATTCACGCTTCTTAAATCTTCTAGCTTCACCAATATGCTCATAGTCTTTGTTTGACACTCACCCTTTGATCCCACCGGTTTCTTAAGTGATGAATTGTCTGAAGAATTGCACCTTATTCGTAGCCTTTCACACAATCACTACCAAGGTAATTTACAGAGAAGAACCTCCTTCTTTTCACTGGAATTTATTAGCACCAATGACAACAACCTCAATATGGCATAGGATATTTCACTTCTAGCAAAAAATTTATAAATTATAATTTAAGAACCAAATCAACTAAAGACTCAATTCTTGTTAGCTTTGACAAATTCAACCCCAATAGTTTTAGAAAAGGAAATTGTTGATTGTGCATGTATCTTGAAAAGGCCAAGTCTAAAGGATGATCAATAACTAAATCAAAAACAGAATGAAAATCAAGTCATAGAGGAATAACCAGTTCAAGATCAAACCCCAAACACTCCACAAGAACATCCAGATCTCTCAAAGGAATGGAGACTAATGAAATACCATCCAATTTAAAATGTCATTGGAGATATATCTAAGGGAGTCACCACTTAACTGTCTCTCAACAAGGTATGTAAATTTATGGCTTTTGTTTCACAAATTGAGCCAACGGAATCGATGAAGCCATATTCGTTGAACATTAGTCTCTTCCAATGCAAGAAGAGCTAAATCAATTTTAACGAAACAACAATTGGGAACTCATTCCCAAAGCTTCACTAAATCTAATAATTGGAACCTAATGGATCTTTTGTAACAAGCTAGATGAAGATGAAAATATTTTAAGAAATAGAATCAGACGCTTGCGAAAGAATACAATCAACATGAGAGAATAGATTTCTATGAAACATATGTCATTGTACCTAGATTAAAGGTCATAAGAATGTTATTAGCTTTCTCCTTAATCGTGAATTTCAAATTATTTCAAACTGATCTAAAAAGTGCATTTATAAATAGTTATATCCAAGAGGAGGTCTTTGTTGATCAACCTGTAGGTTTTATCAACCCAACTTTTTCAAACCATGTCTTCAAGCTTAAGAAAGCACTATATGGTCTGAAACAATCTCCTAGAGCATGGTATGACCGGTAAAGTAAATTTTTGCTTTAAAATAAGTTCCATAGAGGATAAGTTGATAAAAATCTTTTTATCAAGAAAACTGAGCATGATATTCTATTAGTTAAAATCTATGTTGATGATAGAATCTTCGATGCTACTAACGAATCCTTGTGCAAGGAATTTGTAAAATTATGCAGAATGATTTCGAAATGTCAATAATGAGAGAATTCAAATACTTTCTAGGACTTTAAATCCATCCACACAAAAAAAGGAACATTTATAAATCAAGCTAAATACTGCAAAGATTTGCTGAAAAGATTTGATATGAAGAAGTCTAAAGTAAAAGCAACCCCAATGTCAACTTCAAGATACTGGTCCATCACATGTCATAGTAGATAGACTTCTTCCATGGTCAACCTCCCAAGCATAAAACCAAGTTGATTACCGGTAATTTGAGCCTCTTTTCTAAGTCTCCATTTAATCACTCTTTTTCACAAATATATGGTATGACATATAAGTTTAATCCCCTTGTAATTTGCACAATTTTATATATACCCCTTGTTTTTATATGTTGGAACTAAAGTATTTATTCTCCATTTATTTGACATTTGCTTTGACTTCATAAATCCGTTAAAGATTTTAGTGAGCCACCCAATGCCTCTATCTCCAAGAATTTTTCACGTAAATAGTTTGTTGTTTGGCCTAACCGTTAATTATCTTTTTCTACACTTCTCTTACCTTTTATATTTGAATATGACGATAGTAATTATACTTTCTCTCCCTATGACTTTTTCTCTTTGCACTCTTCTTGAATCTTGCATCCATAACCAATACTCTATTTTGAATAGACAAGCTCTCTTCGTGCATAACGTAACTGTCTAAGAAAATTTTTCTATCTAACTTCCTAATAAAAGATAAATCTATCTAAAACACATGTCACCCCATTCTTAACTAAGATGTTCATCTATTTTTCATAAAACATGTATTATCTATAATAAAATCAAAAGTGGCCAAAAAAATCTAAGATGAGTTTACCCTCACTCCACATTTGCCTTCTCGAAATCATACCCCACATGCATGCCTTTAAAACCCTTTAATTCGCTCTTTATATATGCCCATTTAGACCCGATCTTAGAAAAATCTTCTCTCTTTAAAGTATATCCTGAAATAAACCTTCTTATTCCTTTCAAAACTTTACTTTAAAATACATAAAACACTAGGAACAATCAAGATGTCTTGTTTCACTTTAAATTTCAATGGTACGATCTTATCTTCTACTCTTTTTACAAGCACAATATCCTCCCTTCACTATGTGTCTAAAATAATTTCCACCCTAGTTTTCAATTTAACTTTGTTGGTGTAAAAAAACTTAAATTTCAAATTGTCTAATTCTTTCACATTTTCAGCCATCCACTTACTTTTTTGTAAACACATGAAACTGATCTTTTTTCTAACCATGATATCCATGTGAACAGATAATGACATGTAACCACGTGAACAGATTACCAATGAGCCATAATCATTTAGGTTGCTACCATGAACTGCATTTCTAAAACCCAGAATCCTCCGTGGTGTATAATCCACTTTGCCTCTGTTATCATCATTTCAGAGTAAATCATTAAAACCTCCCATTATAGACTATGGTAATGAATTGTCTTGGGCTAGTGTCCATGTTTCTTGTAGTATTTTCCTTTTCGCCACATGGCTGGCACTCTCGTCATTATTTTATATATTGACATATATGAAACATTTGACAATGGATAAACTAATCATTGCCCAAATCTATTGTAAAAAAATAAAAAAATTGCTCAAATCTATTGTAAATATAAAAGCACTGCACAAAATCTAAACCTTGTTTCTACCCTCTCCCATCCCAATAACCTAATGATACTTTTATCAAAATTCTAAGCCAAATAACAAAAAAAAAATCAAAGGAATTCTCCAAAGTTACATTTTTTATTAAACACAAATGCTATTCAAATTAAACACAAAAAGAAAAGAAAATAACTAGCTGCTAAACTATGAGTATCATCATTCATCAACCATATTGGTTGATAAATTAGGAACCAAATCTGTATAATAATGAAGTGAGAACATGAAGAGAAGAATTACAATAACTTAAACTAATCACTAAGTTAAAACAATAATTAACTAAAAGCTGTGAATTTTCACCCTCCATTTCCGCCAACTGAACGCAACTCATCAAGAGATGCTTTGATCTGATCCTGAACCAATTCCAATCTCTTCGAATACACTTCCAATTCCAATATCTGTTGCTTCCGCCATTTTTCATCCACAATTTCTCCGCCACTGCCGCCTCCAAAACCAAAATTCATGAACTGAAACGGCAACGGATTCATTGAGGAACCAAAACCTCCTCGCCCTCCTCCAACCGATCCTCCCATCGCAGACGCGCCTGCACCGGCCACCAATTCCTTCAACAACGGCGATAAACAACTCCTCACTGTTTCTTCAATCACACCGGCTACACTATTCCCAATGCTACTGCAATTATAACTATAATTATTAGCGTTAATTGCAGTATTAGCATTAGGAGTGGTAGTAGTAGTAGTAATAGTAGGTGTTATAGCAGCATTAACAGTAGCTGTAGTAGTAGCGTAAGGATTAAGATTAGGATTAGGATTAGGATGAGGAATAGGAATTGGAATAGGAAGAGGATTTGGATTAGGATTGTTGAGGTTGATATTGAGATAATCACGATCTCTAATCGATAAATCAATAGATTCGCGTTTCTCGAACGGTCTGATAACGGATCGAGGCCGCGAACGCTTCCTCGTGTTGGAATTCGCCTCAGTCTTGAGAATTACCGGACTGAAATTGAGGTTAGGGTTCGGACTAGGATTCAGGTTGATTTCGTCGTCGTCTATGGCAACATCACCTGCAATTGGCGCGACGTTGTTCCAGATCTTGCGTGAGATTTCGAAAGTAGCTTGATCGTGAGCGGTTTTGAAGACGAATTCCTTGCCGGAGCTGATTTTGTTCAGAACGTTTCGGTATTTCTTCTTCAATCTTCGGATCTTCTCAACGAGTTGATTCTTGTTGAAATCGAGTTGGAGTTTGGATTTGATTTGGTCGTAGAATTGAGCTGTGTCGTTGTGATGAGAAGATCCTCTCTGCGTTGTGTAGTCGAGGAAACCTTGCAAGAGTTCCATCTCGTCTTCGTCGGTCCATAAGCGCTGAAAAAGCTTGCGTGAATCTTCTATAGGTTTTTTCTCTTCAATTTGATCTATACGTTGGCGTTTTGAATCGGAGGGGAAGGAATCGGCGAAGACGATGGTTGTTGCGGTTGGAGTTGAAATTGGGGGTCTGATAACGCCGTTGGAGATGACGGAACCGGGAACGGCGACTGTGACGGAGGGGACGGAGCGGGAAGAAGAGGAAGGATCGTTTTCTTCTTCATCTACTAAAACGTCGTCGTCTTCTTCATCTTCTTCGTATTCGTGAAATTCGTCTTCGTCGTCGTCGATGTCTTCTTCGGGGAAAACGGTGTCGTGTTGCTGTGAGGCCATAGAGAGAGGGTTTGTTTGGTTAGTGGTTAGAACGTAGAAATGGTTAAGTCTAGAGAGAGAATGGGCACATGGGTTTGGTTTATGGTTGGACTCATTCATTGAGAAATGCACTTTGCTTGGTGGTAAGTAGTAATGCGATTTGTTTGTATCAGTCAGTGGTTTTCTTTGTGGTTTTGGTTTAGGTGGTGGACTAACCAACCACTCCTTGTTGCCTCACATTTATCTTTTTTTACTTATTGTTAATCTTATTTTTAATATTGTATATGACTTTTTTTTTTACCAATACAAAATTTCTTTATGGAATATGCGAATTCTTTTGAAAAAGATTTTTTTTTTTTTTATAAAAAGAAAATAAAATTAAGACTTAAATGAAATATAGTTAGAGTGACAAACGAGTATGTTTATCTCGATTATTCTCATTCCACAAAAGTTCGCAGAAAAAAAGGACGGAGCGAGCAGACATATTTGAAGATGCGAGTCTAAACCTTTGCACCGCCCCTGTAAAGTGAAGGGGGCAAGACGGAGTGGACATGCGGGCATTTACTCTTTTAAACTTAAAAATTACAAAATTGTATGTAAAAACTCGTTCCCGCAAATATTCGTAAAAAACAGAGCAATGTGGGGGAAGCACATTAAAGGATGTGGGTCTAAAACCTTGGTTCATCCCACGTAAAAAGTGCCGGCAAAACAAGTATGTCTGATTGACTAGACTTGTTTTGGCACTGTTGGAAATACGTTTGACTCCCGCTGAAGAATTTCACCAAATCTTGATGAATTGCAAACCAAATCTTGATGAATAAGAATTAATCTTTCTGATTAATTATCCATCTTGTTCTTCACTCTACACTCGAGTGAATCAACCACAGTTGGTTGCAAGATTATATTGCTGCATGATTTATAATTGAAAGAAGAAAAGAAAATTGAATTTGGAAAGAAAAGTGTTTTAGAGTTTTGCGAGAGAAGGAAGAATATGAATTGTGAAATCTGCAAAGTTTCTCTATGCTTTTTACTTTGCAATTTGCAATTGTTCACTTTTCAAGTTACAAATAATAATAGTTTATCCCCCTATTTATAGATTGAGATTTCTTGCAACCCAAGCAATCTTTTAACAAACTAACTCAGCTAAAACACAAATAAAGCTAAGTCTAACGAACATGTCAAAGATACACTTCTTTCGACATTTCGACAACTATTACAATTCGAAACTTAACATTTTGACATTTCCTTACTTTTGTTAAGCAACCTGCTTCGACACGAGGAATTACAATTCAACACACCACCTAATTCATTGTGTCTAAGCTATCTATTTTCATCATAGACCTTAATTTTCTTAACATTTCGACATCCACTTCTTTCATCATGATGTTTGCAATTTGATTCTCAGTTCTGCAGTGTTCCAAGTTCAGTTTCGCAGTGTTCCTTTATCTTGTTCTCAAAGATAAAGGAACCTCATTTTGATGTGTTTGCTTCTTCCATGCGCTATCAGATTCTTCTCTAGATTTATAGCAGACATGTTGTTGATCTTCATGGTAATTGATTCATGATCCTTCCATGTAATCTCTTTAATCAGATTCACCATTCACATTGCTTGACAAGTAAAGAGAGAAGCAACTATGTACTCTGCTTCACACGATGACAATGCCATTACTGGTTCTTTTCTTGAACTTCAAGCAATTGGTGCACCACCTAGCATAAACACATAGCCACTTGTGGATTTTCTATCCTCAACATCACTACACTAACTTGAGTCGGTGTAACCCACAAGTTTGCATTATTTTTCTTCATCAAATACAGTAACCAAAATATCATAGTCGAGATTTCCTTTCAGATACCTTAGTATCCTCTTCATCGTTGCTAAGTGTGATACCTTTGACTTCTGTATGAATCTACTCATCATACCTACATTGTATGCTTGATCAAATCTTGTGTGACAAAGCTATCGAAGTGATCCAATGAGTCTTTTATACTGCGATGGATCAACATCATCTTCATCTCTGTCTTTCGACAGTCGTAGTCTGGGCTCAGATAGGGTCGAAGTTGGGTTGCAATCTTGCATCTCAAATTTATTGAGTATTTCGTCTACATATCTTCTTTTGTGCATACTCAAACCTCTAATGCTCTTGTAGAATTTGATGCCAAGGAAGTATGGAAGATTTCTCAAGTCTAGAATTTCAAACTCCTCACTTAAGTCGTGTTTGAATTCTTCAATCGCCTTCTTGTAACTTCCTGTTATTAATAGGTCATCGACATAAAAACATTGTATAAGCAATTCACTATTGATTCTTCTTACATATAATCTATGTTTAGTTGTGAACTTCACAAAGTCCTTCTCCCTTAGAAATCCATCTATCTTCTTATTCCAAGCTCTTGGAACTTGCTTGAGTCCATACAGGGCTTTATGCAGCCTATATACCTTGTTTCTTTCGCCTTGTTTCACAAACCCAACTGGTTGTGCAGCATAAACTTTTTCATTTAGGGGACCATTTATGAATGCACATTTCACATCCATATGACATATGTGTTAGTTATTCATGTTTGTCAGACCAACAATCAGCCTGATTGTTTCGATTCTAGCAATAGGTGTAAAAACTTCGTCGAAGTCGATTTCGTCTTTCTGAAGAAATCCTTTTGCCACAAGTCTTGGCTTGTGTCGAGTTACTTCTCCTTTGAGATTCAACTTCACCTTGTATATCCACTTCACATTGATTACCTTCTTACCTTGAGGCAATTCGACAAATGACCAAGTGTTGTTGACTTCGATGGACTTCAATTCCTCATTCATTGCTTTTATCCAGTTTGAAATCCTTCAATGCCTCAGCTGCATTGACTGGTTCATCATTTGTATAAAAAGCATATTGTACCATCTCACCTTCATCATAGACCACATCATCTGATGTAATCACGCATTCTTGCAACCTTGCAGGAATGCGTCTTATTCTTTTAGGTGTGCTTATGTTTGATTGACCTCTGACTTTTCTTATCGAACTTCTCTTTCGAATTCACTTACTGGTTCACATAAGATTCTCACTTAATCCTTCTTTACATTTTCAGTCCAATCTCATTCTTTAAGCTCATTTATGATCACGTCCCTACTGGTTACTACTTGCTTGTTCACTGGGTCAAACATCTTATATCATACATTTAAGTGATATTCTATTAGGATCATTTGACTCGACTTGTCATCAAGGTTTATTCTCAAGTGATCAGGCACATGCCTATGTGTTATAGATCCAAATACCTTCAGATAACTCAAGATAGGCTTGGCACCAAACTAACATTCTTCTGGCGTGATTCCTTCTAGCCTTTTCGTCGGACATCTGTTCAGTATATATGTTGCAGTCGACATAGCTTCTCCCCATAATTCTTGGGGTAAATGCTTTCCTTTCAACATACTTCTCACCATATTCATGATGGTTATGTTCTTCCTTTCTGTAGTTCCATTCTGTTGTGGAGTGTAAGGTGGCACCACCTAATGTACAATCCCTTATTTATCACATAATGTGTCGAAGTATTTCGACACGTATTCTCCATCATCAATAGTCCTTAGAATCTTGAACTTTCGACCGCCTTGTCTTTCAACCATAGAATTAAACTTAGCAAATACCTTGATCACTTCACTTTTCTTCTTGATCAGGTACGTCCACAGTTTTTGACTGAAATCATCTATAAATGTGACAAAGTATCTGCTACATCAAATTGAATTCACCTAGATAGTTCTACGCACATCAGAGTATATGAATTCAAGAATTGCCTTCGACTTGATTCCTGCATCCTTACTGAAGTTGTTCTTGTGTTACTTCGTATGCACACATTCCTTACACACTTCATTTGTAATGTCGATTTTTGGTATCCCTGAAACCATATTTTTTCTCTTCAGATCTCTGGTGTCTTAAAAATTGAGATGGACAAGTCTGTAGTGCCATATCCATCCATCCCTGCTAGATGCAGTTGCAAGGCACTTGTGCTCCATCACATTAAGTTCAATCCTGAAGGTTCTATTCTAAGACATATGAGCATTCAAGATTAACCTTCCTTCTGAGTTGAGAATTTTCATCATCTTGTCTTTAATTGACACTTTATAATTCTTTTTGACCAACTGTCCTATACTGAGCAAATTAATCTTCATGTCTTGTATGTATAATACATTGGAAATTACTGACCTCTTGTCATCTTTCCTCATAATCATAACATCACCAATACCTTCAGCTGCTAGGGTGTTTTCATTTGAAATTTTCACCATGTTCTTCATTAAGGATTATATGTTGACAAACTAATCTTTCTTACCAGTCATGTGTGATGAGAATCCTGAGTCCAAATACCAATGGTCCTAGAATCTTTCTTCATCTCTTGTTGTGACCCTCGACAACATCTCTTGTTCTCCATGCTTTGCAAACTTTGCATCATTATCATGGTTCTTTTGTTTTTCGGGACAATCACTAGAGTAGTGACCACAATTCTGACAATTGAAACACTGAATGTGACTTTTGAAAAGGAAAAGTTTTTTAGAGTTTTGTGAGAGAAGGAAGAAGATGAATTGTGAAATCTTCATAGTTTCTCGCTGCTCTTTACTTTGCAATTTGTAACTGTTCACTTTTTAAGTTACAATCAGTACAAGGATACCTCCCTATTCATAGATTGAGATTGCTTACAACCCAAGCAATCTCTTAACAAAGTAACTCAGCTAAAACATAAATAAAGTTAAGCCTAACGAAAAATTCAAAGATAAACCTCTTTTGACATCTCAACAACTATTACAATTTGACATTTAGCATTTCAACATTTTTTTTATTTACTTTTGTCGAACCCTATTTCGACACAAGGTATTACAATTCAATAGCCACCCTTAAATATGGTTCATCAAAGATGAGAAAAATGGAGAAAAAACGAAGAGATTTTTAAAAATACATTTGGTTTATTAAGGAAAAGGAAGATTTTTAATGGAAAGAATGTATGAAATGATATTTTTTATCTTTTAAATATTTATGATCGTGCTATTTATA